AGATTGTAATTTTTATAACTTAAATATTGTAAGTACTTTTTATACTTAAAATTTAGCGTTCTGTTATAACTTTGATTTTGATTTTTATGGTTTCCTTTTTTTTTTTGTTTTTTTATGTGTTTTTAGTTGCTGGGGAAACAATCATTTGGCAACCGTGAGACTTACTGATTAAAACCTCTAGTAGAATTCTATCATCGCGATAGTAGTATATTGTAAGATAACTTGTGCGTGCACTATAACGGAACGTATTATATGTGATGATGTTCTCCTGACCGGTTCCGGCCACGGCGGCCAATCTCATTGAGACTAGCCAACTGCGCACGAGATATTATAGTGCACAAGTGTACGCGCAAACACAACGTGCACTCTCTATTCCTGTCACTCTCATACTCCGGTGGGACGACCACTCGATACGACCAGTGAGAGTTAAGGCGCAGGACCGACGGCTTTACGTGCTCACCGAGGCACGGGGGTGAAACACCACCAACTTCCCAACTCCGGGCTGTTATTGAGGCTTAATATACAGAAAGACTCAATAACTAAACTTGGCCCGACCCGGGACTCGAACCTAGGACCTCCGGGTGTGCAGCCGTACATGCTAGCCACTACACCACCGCAGCAGTTAGATTATATGTACATAATATATAAACAGAGGTAAGCTTTATCATCTAAATTCATTACATTTCGCTTTTAATACCATACATCTCTATTAAATTCGGTACCATAATTGTCTGGTGGGCGCCAATTAAAATTGAAACGGCGAACTTCACCCACATTAAAAACAGCGAACTAAAAATACCTATATGTATTATATTGAAATACTATAAACTAACTAAACACTTTTTAAAAAGCTGGATGAAAATCAATTTTGTCTGAACCTCTGAAATTTACTACAACTCGATAAGTTTATTTACAAAGAACTTCGATAACTCGTTACCCCTATAATTAATTTCTGTTTAAGCTCAAACGATTCATTTAACCGTTCCACTGTAAAAGGTTAAAGGTTCTTTTTGAAGCATAACAAGTTAATTAATTTGTTTTGTATTAAAGTATTATATAGATATAAAATAAGATTACACTAATGTTTTCGTGAACATTCGTTATTGGTTTTAGTTTATACTAATATTATAAAGAGACAGAGTTGTTTGTTTGTTTGTTTGTTTGTTTGTTTGTTTGTTTGTTTGATCGCGCTAATCTCAGGAACAACTAATCCAACTTGAAAAATTCTTTTTGCATTAGATAGCCCGTTTATTATAGCCTGTTTATAGAGGAAGGCTGTAGGATATATGTCATATAATATAAAGTCTATCAATTCCAGCCTAACCGTTATAACGTACCCAGGGACGTACCCGAGCGAAGCGAAGGTGAGTCGCTAGTAGCAAATAAAGTCAAAAATAAATATACATAATAATATATTGTTTTTTGTAATAATAGAAAGATTTGTTAAAGTTTCTTATTACGTTTATCAATAAAATATTTATATTTATTTATAGTATTTTTGATTCATTAATATATTGGTGTTTCATTTATCAAAAACATGATTTGTTATTATTAACTAGCGGCTCACCCTCGTTTCGCTCGGGTTCGCCTCTAGAAAGCACAAACAGATCTATCCCTCGGGAACCGTTCATTGTTCAGGAATTATAAGTAAGCCATGTGCTATTTCAGACTATAATGTATTCATGTGCCAAATTTCATCCAGATCTGTTCAGCCGTTCTAGCGTGAAAGAGTAACAAACATCCGTACATACTCACAAACTTTCACATTTATAATCTAAATATATAATACGAATATTCAATAATGATTATGAATTTCGACCAAAATCTTTAAATAAAAATATCACAACCTTTATTTATAACCTTTATAACATACACGAACTAACATACATCTGAATTGAGAACCTCGATTTAAGAAAGAAAGTCGATTAAATATTAATATTCCTAAAACAAAATTGAAGTGAAAACCTATTAATTTCCCAGAGCACATCGATTCAATAACAAGTGTTCTAGCTTCAGATCTCTGCAGATAAGAGAATGCTTTCATTGTCTGCAAACACAGTTCTTTGATTCCATCTCAAATAAAGAATAGGTTGGTCGGAAGAAGATGGTAATTCTTTTGATCTTTAAATTTCAATTGAAATCTTGACATTGCTTTGTAAAGCAATTGCTTGCGGCGCTTGATGTTCGAAGAAAATGTTTTATTTCTATAAAAAATCCTTTTTATATACCAGATTGACTGTGAACGTTAAAATGATGTTAAATATGGTGTTTAAGAATAAAATAGATATTTAGAAATAGAGTTCTTGTTATCATATTAAAATAATTTTAGATTTTAATTTTAGATACAATTTATTTGTGTCCATATCACAAGCAATAGAAGAGATTTATAATACAAAAATAGATAAAAATAATTAAGGTTTAACATACCCACTAAAACCCAACAAAACCTTCCCCCGTCTTAATGGGGCGTCGCAGGATCGCTTACGCATTCAACTACGACGCCCTGACGGCAGGTCTGCAAGCAGACCATCACAACCATGGGGTTGCTCCAAGGTCCACTCTGCTATCAGAGAAGTACCAGGAGCAACCCACAAGGTACACCGCCCCCCGAAGAGGGCCACCTCCCACCGCCCACCGAAGTGGGCAACCACCCTGTGCGTTTCTTAGCTTCGCTACTACTACTGAGCCCCCCCACCACGACAAGGTGAACGCACGTTGGGGGGGAAGGTTTAACAAATACTTTAACATGATACAACACATTAGTTAATAGATTGTTAACTAAAGTTAAGAAAAGTAACAAGTAGTTGTAAGCTAATTGGACTATGAAATCGCTTAGAAAAAAAATATTTTTCTAGACTAAGTTAAAGCAATACGATTTTTTTTAAATCTAAGTAACTCAGTTAAAGTAAATCTGTAATTTAAGTAAAAGAAATCAATCACTTCATTTATTTATTTCTTATTTCTATTTTTAATAGCATTTTTTTTGGCCTGAAAAATCTCGTCATTTTTAAATGCCTGATTTACAAAGGTATCATAATTTGTGCGTTCGCGTCGTCAGTGTGGCCAGTATAATCAATTAATAACTGTTTTATTATACACTAACATTGCCCGCGGCTCCGCCCGCGTTCAGTTGACTTAAAACCAAATTCTGGTTTTTACATATTAGTATACTCTTACAATGTAATGTTTGTATTTTTCTCAGAAATGAGATATTTTCCCGCGATAAAAAGTATCCTATATGTTGACCCGGATAACCACCTATCATCATACTTAATTTCATCAAAATCTGTCCAGTGGTTTTCTCGTGATGCGGTAACAGACAGACAGACAGACAAAAAATCTAAAAACTATAGATTCGGACTCTGTATCGATAATAATGTCTATTTCAATTAGATTTTCAAAAAAAAAAAATATTTAATGTACAGACACGACTTAGTTACAATTTTATTATATGTATAGATTAAAATAGCGAAATCTTACAATACTAAAAATGTACTTAAACTATAAGAGGTACTTAAAGACCCTATTAAATGACGAAATTATTATAACTATTGCTATTTTCCATACTATTATACTATTTATTATTATACATACTATTGTACTATATATTATTTTTGAATCGCAAAAATCGATACTCCTTTTTGACCTTTCAACCTTTAACTTTAACTCTTCAATCAATAAATGTCATCATTAACATAGAAGGACATAAAAACAATTAAAGAATCGGATTTATTTTCAAATAGGTATATTTGAACTGGCATAGATTCTATTTGTATTCAAAGACAGTCGATAGAGAAATATCCACGAACAATAAATCGATATATTTGCTGATTTCATCTTCTAGAGTCGTTAAGAAGATGAATAATGCTCATTGTCCTCGATTAAGCTCATATTTTATATAATAGATAATATTATTCTAGATTAAAATATTTTATAGAAGTGTGATTTGTGAAGTTTTATCTAAGTTTTTCTATATTATGTTTTAAATGGGATTGAACTCATGACCTTTCAAACAGCAAAGGATGGCTCTACCGTTGTATATACAATATAATAAATTAGAAGACAATCTTAATAATATTTTGACATTATCGATGGTATAGATTTTCGTTAATTATCTTTATCGTATTTTAAACCCAGTGTTATTATCGGCATTAAAAGAAAAAATAGTGTATAGCAGTAAGTTGAAGCTCTGTTTTTTCTCTACTCTTTTAAAAAGACAAAATATCCAATTAATATTGCTGACTCTCCAAAACTCACCTTTATGGTTATGTTGAAAATAGGTCTTTATAACTTAACCATTATTATATGTAAATATTATTTTGACCATACTTGTCATTAGGTATATAATTTTTATAGGATGTCAAAATTAATTCTTAAAAAGGCTTTAAAAAGCACATGCTTTAAGCTGCCTGTTTGTGATTTTAAATTAAACTATCTGTTTAGATTTTTTTTGCGGATTTGTTTTGATTTATGATTCCCTAAGTTTCGAATGCTTTACAGTAAGCATGGTCACGGGAATAATCCGAAAAGTCCGTTTTATTTAAAATGTCAAATATTCACGTAAATCTAAGAAAGTATAATATATTGCCCATTTGTGGTTGATAGTCTACAATCCACTGATGTGTAATGGCATTATTTTTGTAGGAAAATGTGTTATTATGTACATAATATTATATGTAAATTACTTATTAGTTTATGAAAACTTTTTAAGTAATATAATAAATGTAAAAATTTGTAATCATTACGCAACCATATTGGTAATATTTTAAATAACTATCTTTTTGGATTTTTTTCGCGGATTTATTTTAATGTTTGGTTCCCGAAGGTTCAAATGCTATTGGTAATATTTGAATTTTTATATAATTTCGATAATATTATAATTTAGAAAACTTAATAAATGGCTTTGCCCAAGTAAGCTAAAAGAAACAAAAAGAAAATACTCTTTAAATAATTTTGAGTAATACCACGGATTGCCAGTAAATAATAAAACATTCACTCACCATATTCCGGGCACGTTATACAAAACGCCACAGCCAGGAAAAAGCCGATCACCTCGCCCAAGTCTTTGCTGGCCATTTTATCTTTTCGCTTAACCCACACTGGCTTTTACCGACATTTTTAGTTTTCTATTTCGCGTAAATCACTTAAGCCGTTGATCCATATCCAGCATCCTTTTTATGATCGATTTTTTTGAGGACATCTTCAGCTCTCTAATAACGTGCCACAGCTTTATGGATCACATCTGGAATATAAAAAAAAAGAAAAATTAAAAATCTATACCCATATCTGTATTATTTTTTGCATAACATAGATTTTTAATTATAATCATGAAAATATGTTTTTTTTAAATAGTCGTTCATATAGCAATAAAACAATGAATCAATGTGATTTTTGCTTATTAAACGTTTATTTCTACTGTACAGTAATTTTTATAGCATCTAAGCAAAACAATGGGATCAAACATAACTTTTAATTTTCATACATTCAATAAAATAACAAAAAACCCCATTACTTTACCATATTTTATGTACATCAATATAAGTCCACATAGCGATGTAAATAGCAAATCTAATTTTGTTGTGTATGTTTGTAAATTTATATTTTGTCCTTGTCCTCTTTCATATATCAAATGACGTTAGCCTATTCCAATTTATATCACCCAACCCCCAAAATTGCTCCGTCGTTACTGTAACATTTCTGTTACCAAATTGAGTGGATATAAGGCCGTGGATATGATGGATTATTATTATTTCCTCTATACATGGCGCTGCCAGAATAAATGATCGATATTAATTTTAGTTAAGATTAAGTATAATCAGTTGTACGTACATATATGGGAGATGTACCGTCTATATAGTTGGACTTATGGGATTTTTCGCTCGTAGAAAACATGTTATAGCAACTTAGTTTGGCAAGAGATAGTTTTGGGAAATATTTTATCGATTTATTATTCAGAGCGTTTATATGCATCAGTATATTGTATTCTTGTGGCAGTTTATTAAAAAATCAACATTCTAAATCATTACTTTATGACTAAAAGGCATACTTTCAAAATAAATTAATATGTTGGGATATAGACACACAGCATCATCTAGTTCCATGGTAAGCTACGAGACTTGTGTTGTGGATATCAGATAGTCGTTACACCATATATAACTTTAAATATATACATATTATAATCATATGCACCCATGACTGGAGTACAAACATTCGTGTTCATCACACAAATTAATGCCCCCAGCGGGACTCGAACCCGCGACCGCTAGCACAGCAAGTAGGGCACTACAAACTGAGCTAAACCTGTCGTCAAGTAAAATAATTAATAAAAATCTATTTAAAAATACATATGCCAACATTAGAGTTGGAACTCTTTCTTTTAGGATATATCTTTAGGGTATAACTATAGGTATAAAAAATATACGTATATTAAAAAATAGGTTTACAGTTGATGAATATTCCACATACCTATATGTACATACATAAATAATAACATGCACCCGATTCGAGTGTCCTCTGCTTAAAATCAACTGCCTCGGTAGTGTAATGGTTAGAATGTACGACAGTACATCTGAAAGACCTGGGTTTGAGTCTGGGATCGGGCCAAGTTTAGTTATTGAGTCTTTTTGCTAAGAAAATCCCAATAACAATCTGGAGTAGCAGCACAAAAAGAGTCGGTCTTGCACCTAATCTCTCACTGGTCATGACGAAGTATCGTCCCATCGGAATTTGAGAGTGAAAGGAATAGTAAATGCACGTTGTGTCTGCGCGTAGACTTGTGCTCTATAATATCTCCTGCGCAGGAGGCTAGTCACAGTGAGATTCATGTATCAGTGAAATTCGTCAGGTGGACATCTTATTAAAGTCTATCAACTACCATTCGGCACGCATCAAGATGACACGCCTGATGTGATCAAAACAGTGAATCATTCGTAGGCTCATCCTACTTCATCAGAAATGTGCTGCACTATACTCGTAATATCTCCTGCGCAGGTGGCTAATCTCAGTGAGATTCATATATCAGTGAAATTGGTCAGGTGGACATCATCTTTTTAAAGTCAACTACCATTCAGCACGCATCAAGGTGACACGCCTGGTGTGGTGTGTGATGACAGTGAATCATTCGTAGCCTCAGCCTATTTCACCAGGAATGTAGCGTGAAAGTATGTAAGTCATTTATTATTCTAATATTATAATTAGGTTAATTTTATGTTTTTATTACTACTTCATTTTACATAACATTATTTGAATAATTTGGTGTTAATGAGCTTACGTATAACTGATATACATATTCTTACATATATGTATACGTAACTAAAACGTACGCATAAAGATTTAATTCCATAAAAAAATTTGTTATCCTATCGTATAGAGGTAAATCATTTTTTTTTTACATACTAAAACATAAGTCTACATACAAAAGTAAAATATAATTTCGCAAAAGTCGAAAATGTTAATAGAAAAAGCTTCTCAGAGGCTTGTCTTAAGAAGATCTTATATAATTTAAACGTATGAAACGCTACAATGAAATAGACGAATGAAGGAATGTACTTGAAATATTTCCAGAGCTCTACATAAATACACTTTATGAGGAACAAAGTTGTTAAAAAATGCACGAGGCAGAGATTAGCGTGTAGATTTTGTGAACAATATCTGCGTAAGTAAATTTTGCTTTACAAATTATGCTGCATATCCATAGAGGGCTGAGAGAAAATTTAATATTTTCAAAGTGTTCATAAACCGAAATAAGTTGAAATAACGATGTCGGAGCTCCATTTTATTATGTAAACACTCTGAACAGAATGTGAGACTTTGTTAGCCAGGCGAGTGGTATACGTGAACTTGTTAGTGCTTATCGGCTTGATCTACTATGGTACGTGCTATATTTTTCAATTACATTACCCTTTCCATTGTCAATAAGTGTTTCTGTTGTTAAATTACTTAAATTTTGTTACTACAATCAGAAGAAGGATTTAAAAAAAAAACTATTCTTTGCCGTATTCAGCCCTTTTTAACGTCCCACTGCTGGGCACGGGCCTCCCTTTAGTACGAGGGGGATCAGGCCATAGTCCACCACGCTGGCCAAGTGCGGGTTGGCGGACTTCACATGTCTTTCGAAAACTTGTTAGGTTCTCTCAAACATGCAGGTTTCCTCACGATGTATGTGAATTATCAATTTTATACTGCCATCGTGCTAACTTACGGTTAACCGCCACACAAAAATGTTCAAAATAAACATCGTATAGTATAGGGTATATAATATTATATATTGATACTTTACAATTTTTGACGACCGTCGTGTTAACTCACGGTTAACGGCCAGGCAATTAAAATAAATAATAATAAATAATAAATATGTTGGGACATTCGTTCACAGCACCATCTAGTTCCATGGTAAGCTACGAGGCTTGTGTTATGGATACCAGATAGTTGATGCACTAGATATATAACTTTAAATAAATACATATTATAAATATAAACAGTAAACACCCATGTCTGGAGTACAAACATTCGTGCTCATCACACAAATGAATGCCCCCAGCAGGACTCGAACCCGCTACTAATAGCATTATAATATAAAAATAAAATATATATTCGCCAGGCTTTAAATAAGATTATAAATATATAATTCTTCTGTGAGTGTGTATGTCACTGAACTTCTCTCAAACGAATGGACCGATTTTGATGAAACTTTTTGTGTGTGTTCAAGGGGATCTGGGAATGGTTTAAATTCACAATTTGAATAATAATTTTCATCAAAAAAATTATTAAAAATATTTTCAAATTAAAGACGTGTAGACAGGACAACGTCTGTCGGGTCCGCTAGTAAGATTATAAATTTATATGTAATATGTAATATTTAATAAAATATGACGACAAAATGTGGGTAATTGTAAATAGATAATATGTACAAACCGGACTCGGATGATGATATAATTTGAATCCGACGACGTTTAAACAATTGTTGTTCCTTAAGTTTCTTGAATTTTCATTAGTTTAGATTTTTCTTCTTGAACATTTTCACTTTTATTTTGAATTTTTACCCGAAGAGTACACTTGTGCTTGCTACCTCGTACGAAAAAAAGAAATACGGCACTGAGTAGTCAGGATGTAGACATTGGTGAGTAACGAATTGATTTAAAAATCGATATACGTATCAACTTTTTTTTTAAATCTCTTAAATGTGTGCGAAAGCTACCTTGTAAGTTAAAGGGACTGCCTGGTTATATTATATCTGAAGAATAAGGCGAAGAAATATAATGATAGTTCAATGTATCCATACATATTAAGATAGCATACATATTAAGATAGCATACATATTAATTTAAATACATTTTAGTGCTTCTTCTGTCATATTCTTCATACTTAGTACTCGTAATGAAGAAAGTAGGTACATTAGTAGTTTGTAGTTAAAATAATATAATAAAATAACATTATCCAATGTATGAATCGAGACATTATCTGTTCTAAAACTAAATATCATACAAATTCTCATATAAACTTTAGAATTTATTATAATAGAATAATAGCTTTTATTTTAAACCAATTCAATTATTCTATAAGTTTTCGCATAATTATATGTTAGAGTACAGTGGGAGTGACCTGAAAGGGACATGGTATAATACAAAGGCGTCCGAGGCAGAAATTGTATTGTGTTCGTTCCCTTTATGCTCGCCGCGAGTGTCACTTCTGTACCGGTACCTATGAGTACTATTCTTTCTCGTGTCGCCCACTTAATACTATTTCTTGGCCGTATTCTGTATTTCTAATGAAATGTTTTATTCAGACGTATGCGAGATAACTTGTAGTGTATTTTGTTTTGTCTAGGCGATTCTATTGACTGCGAAATCAAGTTTGTGTTTATTTCTGTATATATTGTGTAAATTGCTATTTGTATATTTCAATTGTGTCTTAAGTTAATATTAATTGATTATAATACTCGTAATATATGTATATTATAATAAAATAATAAAATCTATATAGCTTATATTTTAATATATAAGGTTATTATTTCATCGTATGCATTCATATATAATCTGGAGCTAAGGTTTTATGGATATAAATGAATTTAGTATATA